GCCGGGACGTGCCTACAGCTGCTGGCCGCGTGGACCCGCTCGCCTGTGCGAGCCTGTGGTGGGGAGCGGGCCGCTCCTGGCGTCCTCGCGCTGTGGGGACCGACGTGGCTCAGGCAGACGGCCTGTGTTGTGCCCAGAGAGCGGGGTGGAGGGCCCGGGCCCCAGGCGTGGTCAGAGCATCCCACGGGGAGTCTGGCTGGGTCGTCCCTGCCCGAGGGGAGGAACCCAGGTGCAGGGATGCGCAGTTTGCCAAGGGTTTGACTCGGGGGTCCCAGGGCAGTCCCTCCCGTGCCTTCGGATGACCTGGTGGTATCGTCTGAGACCCTCAGTCCGTGCTCTCTGTCCAGTTGCCTTATTGGGAGTTGACCGGAAGTGCCGGTTCTAACTGTCAAGGATGCTTCTACAACAGGTGTTTTCTCGGTCTCCGCTGGGTGTGGCGCGCAGGCAGCACTGGTGTCTGTAACACCCGCTGCATGTGTGGTGTGTTTTTGCTGGAGATAACGGTTGTTTTTAGAGAGAGATGATTATGAGAAACGTGACTGGTTATGAAGGAGTTCTTACTTTCGGTGTGGACTCACAAATACAGCGTCTCAGTTTCTGTGTCTTGATGGAATCAGGTGTGGCCTTGGCAGACGGGGACGTGTGACCCGCGGGCCCCCCACCCCGCCCTGCGAGGCTCAGGCCAACGCTCGTGTCGCGCCGGAGAGCGTGACGAAGACAGACCGCGGGCAAGCACCACCCCACCCCGCATCCTGTTTTCCCTCTCGAATTAGCATGAACTGGCCTCCTTTACTGACGTGTGGATCCAAGAATGTGTTGGAAAAGTTCTTTCTTCGGTAAATTTCCTTGCTGTGAGTGGCAGAGGAGGGGACGCTTTAACCCCTCTCAGCCCTCTGACTGGCGGACTTGCTGGGGGTGGAGGCTGGGTTTGCTGCGGGGCTCACGCCCTAGGCCGGCCCAGCCTGCTGCCCGGGTGTCCCCGCGGGCCTGGGCTTGGGGCTCGGCCAGCAGATGGGGCTATAGACGCCTTTACGGAAGGCAAAACACTTCCTCTGAGTGCGCTGGCAGTGAGCCTCTAGAAGAAGTACCTCCTGTTCAGAGAAACGGGAAATGAGACATTGTATAAAAATGTTTCAGCCAAGGAATCTCCGTGGTCAGTAACTGTTGCCTTTCCTCTCTGGCAGATGAAACCTATAGAACGGGTCATTTTTGCAAACGTGTGCAGGGGTGCGTCTGCACCAACTTGCGCCTTTATTAGCCCAGCTGAGGTTTAGTTCCCATTAAGGGGAGAGGCGTGGCCAGTGCCCTCACGGGTCCAGCCAGTTTTTGGAACAGGTGGTGGTAGAGCAGGGTGTGGGTGTTCTGCCCTGCACCCCAGCCCAGGTGAGGTGGGCCGGCAGCCTGGGGGGGCGTCTGCAGCTCTTTCACCTCCTGTCACGCTCACCGCTGCCGACTCCCTGCGTTCCCCTGAGCTGCCGCGCGGTTCCGCCCTGAGCAGCCGGCAGAGTGACAGCTCCTCTAGCGGCCATGCTTGGGGGCACGGACAGCCACATAAGTGGTTTCTCCAGCAATCCCCCAGGACCCAAAACGTAAAGACTTTAACTATTTTGAGTGTGCGCATCTTCTGTGAAGAGAGGGGAGCAGCGATGCTTTCAGGAGTCTGTGCTTGTGCTGCTTCTGCTGCAGCGGCCCCCAGAGGCTGTGCGTTTGGAGTTTTGACACTGTCTTGTGTTTATTTGGCTTCTCTGCAAGTGAGTTGTTGCCTTTTGCCGTATTTGTGTTGGTGTCTAACAGTGTTTCTCTCTCAGGCCCCAATTTCACTTATGTGTTGCTTCTCACATTTAAAAACTGACAGAGCAATAACGGGTAACCCTGAGTAGAACCCTAGCGGCTGTTTCTGTGGCGTGAGAACATGAGCGCGTGGACGTTAGGAAATTTCTTCTGTATTCTTAAAAGCCGTGTTGCAGAACAAGTCAAGAGCATCCGTTTGTAAAGCACGTGTGTGCAGGCCTGTGAGTGCAGATGGTTGCAGGGAATGTTCTGGTCCTCAAGAACAGTGAGGCCAGTACGCGAAATAGCAACTCACAAGAACATGGAGCTGAGTGCGGTGCTCAGCACAGAGATCACAGAGCTGAGTGCTGTTTGGTCCAGAGAACATAGAACTGAGTGCTGCGTGCTTAGTACAGAGATCACAGAGCTGAGTGCTGTGTGCTTAGTACAGAGATTGCAGAGCTGAGTGCTGTGTACTTAGTACAGAGATCACAGAGCTGAGTGCTGTGCACTTAGTACAGAGATCACAGAGCTGAGTGCTGTGTACTTAGTGCAGAGATCACAGAGCTAAGTGCTTATACTTAGTGCAGAGATCAGAGCTGAGTGCTGTGTGCTTAGTACAGAGATTGCAGAGCTGAGTGCTATTACTTGGTCTAGGCACCACATTCAGTGTTTCTATAATGGTTGTTTCCTTTTATATAATAGTCTAGAAGAAATTCTTTTGTTCTGCTTAGTTAAAAGCTTAGGAGCGTTCTCACTGTTAATGGTCTTGACTTAGAACTTCGTTTTTTAGGTATTCAGAATAGTAAGTGTAAACAGTTGAATAAAGGCAGCTTAATTTGGTTAATAATAAAGAAGATTTTTCAAAATGTTGTTTGTCTGATTTGAAAAAGAAGGAGCCGTGTCTTGTGGGGCGTGATGGGCCTGCTAGTTTTTCAAGGAACAGCTGCCGTGGGAGGCTCTAAAAACCGAAGGTGCTGTATCTGCTCCACAGTGCGTCTCTCCCAAGGAGGAGCCGTCTGAAGACATATCACATCGTGTGACTGTGAAGTCTCTCGAGGGACGAACGTGTTACGGTTGTGAGTTGTCACTTGAAAAGAACGAATCGGCGTTAATGTCCCCAGCGAGTGGGAGGTGCCCCCGGGGTCAGCTGCCGCCTGAGCCCTCGGGCTGCTGAGTGGGCTGCGCCGTGGGTGGCCTCGTGGCTTTCCAGTGGCCTGGTGAGTGACGAGGGGCCAGGTGACAGGAGGGAGCAGCCAGGGAAGGACGGTGGAGGGAGGAGCGAGCGCGGCGCATCCCTGGTCTGAGGACGGAGGGGCTCCGAGCAGACCCCGGCAGCGTGGTCTCTGTTGCTGTCGGGGTGTGGCAGCGTCCCTGGCAGAAGGTGTCAGGTGGGCATCGTGGAGCCCAGAGCAGGTGTGGGTGCAGGGTTGGCCATTCCCACGATGCAGAGTGGCCCGAGGGCACTGAGGGTGTGTGTGGACATGGCTGTGACAGCCGTCCTCTGTGGAGTGAGCCGACCTTGGAACCCCACCTGCCCGCGGGCCGGCCGTGGAGACTTTTGCCGAGAAGACGGGGAGGCCACAGCTGCGGCTCCCTTCCTGCTGGTGCTGCGGCCCGTGGGTCCCGTGTGGGGCAGAGGGCGGCAGAGCGCCGGGACCTTGCAGGCTTTGGAGAGTTGATTGGCTTCGATGAGTCACGCGTGGTAGCAGCTGAGCCTTCGCTTAAAGGAGTGTACGTTGGCCACGGCTTCATAGACTCAGGAATAAGAACGTTCCCTGCTGCAGCCCTCTCTGTGACCGGGATTGCGGGCACGTGGTGGGGGAGGCATGCGTGCCCAGGCAGGGCTGGGTGGCTGTCCTCATTCTCGTTGGCGATCCGGTCTACTGGGCGGTCTGAGGGACACCCGGCCACGTCACCCACGCGTGAGCTCCTCAGGGTTGCAGGGGGCGGGGGTCTTTGTCCCGCGCAGTGGTGCCCCTCAATGTCAGTGCCCACGTGTGTGAGTCCCACAGGTGCTGGGCAAAGGATCGGCGAGCCCTGCCCTCCTTGAGGAAGTGCGGGTGTGGGAGGGCCGGTCGGAGCTCATTCTGAACTTTTAAAAGCAACGTTTGACTTCAAGTCAGCCCGTGTAGCCCACGGGTGCCGTCCTGGTGCCGTCCTGGTGCCAGCGCGTGGCTCCCTGTCCAGACTCCTTCGGTGACAGCAGGACGGTGTGCAGCCGGTGACCCAGCAGCCCGTCCTGTGTTGGTGGGAGGCTGTTGGCGTCACTCACGCTCATCCTGTCGGCCGCCCCCGTGGCTGGCAGCGCTTGTGCCCCTGGGCGCTGAGCTGGGCCCGTGCGCGGCAGGCTGGGGAGTCTGGGAGGCGTCTCGGCTCAGCCCCCCCTTCTACACGTGCGGAAGAGGCGCCTTTCCCAGCCTGGCACGTCCCCGCAGCCGGCCCGGCGCTCCCTGCCCCATGCCGCGTCGCCGGGTGGTTTGATAAAGCAAGGGGGTCTTTCTTCTGCGTCGTAGTGTTTGGTTAATTTACTAATGCGTCTGAGAGCAAAAATCTTGTATTTTTTGATGTATTTTGACTTTAATTTTGCTGGCTGTTCTGATGAATAGGGCATGTCTGTACCATGTCACCTGTGACGTGGTGAGTCTGCGGCAGGCAGAGTCCCAGATCCAGAAAAGAAGGGAGCAAGGTCATTCCTCACCCAATTTGTGTATTTATTTTTTGTTCTATTTTTTTACCTGTTGGCCATTGGCACATTTTTTTTTTTAATTTCAGAATATTACGGGGTACAAATGTTTTGGTTCCATATTTGCTTGTGCACAGTTTGAGTGAGAGTTGTACGTGAGCCCTTCACCCAGGTAGTGTGCCTCGCACCTGCCAGTCCTCACCTGAGTCAAATGTAATGCGCATTCCTCCCAGATTTCTTTGAAATCACTGATGCCATCACAAATATTCCAAGCTTATTTACAGTTGACTATCACATTGTTTAATAAGAATGAAGTAGAATGATCAGATTTCATAAAAAGCAAGAGTCTCTACTTTCAATAGTACAAGAATGAAGTGACTGTACAAACCTTACTAATTTTAACTTTGCTGTAATGATTTTATATCAGGCTGTGTTGAACTGAATGTCTTCTTCGAACGGTCTGTGGAAGGTTCTTACTAACTCAGCTAGTAAAACCCGAGCGAGCGTAGCCCAGTGGCCGCACACCTTGCTCTGACGCCCTCGAGTCACGTTAGGGCCCCTGGGGACCCGCGACAGAGTGGCTCTTAGCAGCCTGTTTGTGGCTCCGGCGCGGTGACAGCCAGCGGCACCCCGCCTATGCCCTGAAATGGCAGTGCTCCACCGAAGTCCCCGAGTCGGTCGCTGTCTTCACCGACGGGAGGGAGGCGTGACCCCCTTCTCGGCGTGCCATCGGTGCTCAGCAGAGCCTTCCTGAAGGGACAGCCACGCGGCGCAGGAGTGAGCGTGAAAGCGTCTCCGCGGCCCCGACGGAGGCTGCGACGCAGAGTGACGGAGCGAGGGTGCGGAGGCAGGACCGCAGGCGAGGAGAGTTCGCTGCTGTTTTCCAGGGAACGGCTGAATTTTAAATCCTAAAAAGAGTCACGTGTGGTTCAAGCCTGACTGTTCCTTGGATTGTTTCTCGTCTTAGGGCCACTTCTCCTGGGATGCTCAGAAATGTCTCATTTGGACATGGCGTTCTGTTTCTCAGCCCGTCTGGATTCTGAAAACGCAGGCTAGTGTGGGCTCTGTGGTTCCGAACAGCAGGCGCAGGGAGCCCGTTTGTCTGCTGCGTCCTCATCTGGCGGAAGTCCGGTTCCAAAGGGAGGACTGGGACAGCGGTCGGGAGGAACGTGGCGCTCTGGTGACCCTGCACGAAACGCGCAGTTGCACGCGTCTGTCCTTGTGCTGTGCGCAGCTGGTCCCGGTGGCTGTGCCAGCTCTGGGCCAATCGTGCCTGAGACACAGCCTTTCGGCCGGGGTCTGCCGGACGACGCAGGTGCCGTGAAGTTCTCGAATGTGCAGGTCACAGCCACACCCTCGTGGACGCCCCTCGCAGATGGACTGCGTGCCTGGAGCAGACACGCCCAGGCTCGGCGAACACAGCGCTCTGTTCTTAGATAGAACAGTGTCGTTTTCTAGGAAGCCATGTTTTAAAAGCAGGAAGTGGAAACTGCTGCCAGCGTTTGGCGCGGGGCCAGGAGGCATCAGCGTTTTCCGCCCCGTGTGTTTCTCTCCTTGGCCGTGAAATTCGGCAGACTGCTACGCGGAGCGGCTTTGTCTCTGTGCGACTGGGCAGGCAGCTGCTGTTCCTAATGAGGAGTGCGCGGCGGCGTCCCCGTTGATGGAGACCACAGAGGGAGTGGAGGGTGCGGCGCGGGCGGCGGTGTGCGGCGAGGAGGCGCGCCGTCAGCTGGAAGTGCGTGCTCCGCTGCTCCCCGCGACAAGACAAATGAGCTTGCTGGAGTCTGGCAGCGTCTGAGGCTGTTCCAGGGAGCGGTTGCAGCTCAGCAGCCTCCCCGAGCGACCCTGGTCCAGGGTGCCTCTGAAACCGCCGCCTCCTTGCCAGTGGCTTCCTTTCGGTGGCCCGCAATCCCTGTCAAGACTGATTTATTAAAGACCTAACGTTTTCTAGCATTTCATTAACACAGGGTCAGGTGGTCTTTTGTTGAGGCTTTTTCCATGAATGTGGCAGAGTGTTAACTGACGTTGCACTTGCCAGAACCTGCCGCAGACTTCGGTCCCCAGAGAAGTCAGCGGGAGACGGCGCCTCCCGCTTCGCAAGGCCCCGCCGGCCGCTGCAGCTCCTTAAGCCTGGCGTGGCCTTCGCATCTGAGAAACAGCAGCACCCACATTACGGGCAAACCTGACGTTCTTTTTTTACATACAGACAAGAGCTCTAACTTCTCTGCATTTGTCAACATTCACTACTTTCTGTTTTTTGGCCTTGATTTGATGGTAGCCATCCTCGTGGATGTGCAGTGGCTTTGATATGCATGTCCCTTGTGACCGTCGACGTGGGGCGACTCCGTGTGCTTGTCGGCCATTGGAGCGTCTGCTTCGGGGAGATGTCTGCTGACGCCCTCTGCCCACCTTTGAACTGTTGAGTTGTCGGAGTTTTTCTCTGACTCCTGTGTTCTTTTTAAATTGGGAGTTGCTGTTGGGAGGGGGTTTTTAATTCTCTGCTGTCAGACCCATGTACGCAGACATTCTAATCCACATCTTCTGGTAGCTTCTCTTCGTGTACTGCCTGGAGACGGTTGAGCAGAGTAGTTGCTGAGAGAGGGCAGGGTCCTTGCTCCACGGCGTGGAGGAGCTTCACGGGGGGTGTGGTTTCAGGAAGACACTGTGAGCTGCCCATTGGCCTCCTCCTGGTCCCCTGGTCCCTGGGAGCAGGATCGTGTGGGGTACAGAGACGGAGGGTGCCGTTCACCCCGGTCTGGGCTGTGCGGGGTGCAGAGGGGGAGGGTGCGGGGTGTTCAGGGGGAGGGCATGGGTGCCGAGCGGTGCTGTGGTGTCTGACTCTGTCCTCTTTGCCCCCAGCACCGTGACCTCTGCCGTGTTCACCGTGGGAGACAACGTGGTTTCCGGCAGTGACGACCGCACGGTGAAGGTCTGGGACCTGAAGAACATGAGGTCCCCCATCGCGACCATCCGCACGGACTCCGCCATCAATAGGTGTGGTGGCGCTGCCCCTGCACACGAGGCTCGGCCAGACGTGGAAGGGGGATTGCGGTTTCACGTCCGACTCCCAGAGACCCAGTGCTCGGGTGGTGGGGCCCTGGGGACGTGGCGTAGGCTCCTGGGGAATATACTTTATTCAGCCCTAATGCAGCGTCAGTGTGACACAGATGCTCAGCCCTATTCAGTATAAAATGAGGTTAGCGTAGTCAGATCTGTAAGAACGGGAGTGAGCCGCTCATGGCCAGATGTCACGAGGCTCCTGTTTCCTTCCTGGGAGGACTGACCTTGTGCTTGGGTGGGTGTGCATCTGGCTGGTAGCGCGCGTGTGTCTGTGTGGGGCAGATGTCTGGGGTCTGTGTGTGTCTCGTAATAGTCACACGTAAGTAACTCGGTCTCTAATGCCATACGCGGATAATAGCCGGGGTTGATGTAGATTGCCTTGAAATGTGAATACCGTGTCGTTATCTGTGAAGCCAGAAACTCACACTGTCACCGTTTCACACACAAGCCTCCTCTTTGCAGGATCAACGTATGTGTTGGCCAGAAGATCATAGCCCTGCCCCACGACAACCGGCAGGTGAGATTGTTCGACATGTCGGGAGTGCGACTGGCACGGCTTCCGCGGAGCAGCCGGCAGGTAACGGGCTCTGGGTGCACGTTCGCAGAGCGCAGTGGTGTCTTGGAATTTCAGCTTAGGTCGTCACTGTCTGAGAGAAATAGGCTGCAAGCCACAGAAGTAATCTTAAATTTTCTAATAACCACATTAAAAAGGAAATGAGAAATTAATTTTATCAATGTATTTTATTTAACCAAATATACCCAAAATAATGTAATTTCAACATGTAATCAATATAAAATATTAGAGATATTTTACATTCTTATTTTCCTACTAAGTCTCTGGATGCTAAGTTTCCACTGGAAGTGCCTGATCTGCATTTGGAGTTTGTAAAGTTTAAGGTTGAGAAAGTAGAGGAACACACTCAAGTTCGTCCCTGAGTCTCCGTCTTTGAGTTCAGAATTAAGCAACATCCACGTTCGGTGAGCTCTTTGGCACCTGCGCTAATGGCTGCTGTGTCGAGAAGCGCAGTCTTAGATACTCGCGCTGAATCTGCATAGACAGGGAGTGTGCCACGCGGCGCGTGTGGCTATGGTCAGCTGGGCGCCGCCTCGGCGTGGTGGGATCCCCGTGAGCTCTGTCCGCGGTGAGGGCGTCGACTGGCCAAACCGAGAGCTGTGGCTTCCCGGTTTCCTGCTGGGAAGCTCTTCGTTTTCACCAGCTTTCCGCAGGCGACATGTGGTCTTCGTCCCCAGCCCGGTCGTTAGGTCCCCGATCTCCGAGTTGAGTGTATCTTGAGATAGGTGCTGTCCAGAGGCTTGGGTTTCCTGCCAGTTAGTGGATGTGGTTCACTCCCCTTCCTTGGTTGTTCACACAGAAGTGATAGAAGGTAGCCTTGGTGACCCTTGGTTACGTGGTCTCTCCCACAGTTCTCTTGTTTCTGTGGCCTGTTGTTCTCTCTCCAGATGTATGAGTAGTGCTGTTTACATGTGAATGTTTTGCAGGAAAATTCTGTGTTATTTTTTGAGAGTTTCTTTTACTTAAAAAATCTGTCAGCTTTACTTAGCACTGTTCTTGTGCTTATGATACAGCAACGTGTCAGAGCTGTTGCATTAATTTAGAAATTAGGAAGGCGTAGCTGGCACACGTGCCGAGTACCAGGCACTATCCTGCGTGCTGCGTCCACATGCGTGTACACGAATGTTCACATTATGAGACTCGTCAAATATTTTGCAGTAATTTTTCCAGCGTTCTGATATTGACTGGAATTCCCGAAGATGGCAGGAGTCTACCTGAAAGGCCATTTGTCTACCCGTGTTTTATTTGACACCAAATGTATTTTTCTAGCTCCTTCATTAATTACTTGAACTGGTTATTTGTTACGGTGGGATTTGAGGTCTTTGAGTGAATTTCATTTAATTCATCCCCAGACATCTTGTAGCCTCATTTTTCATTTAAAATTTTCAAATTGGTCATTTATTTATTTTTTCACTCTGACTGGACTCTGGTTCATCTTCTTACAAAAGAAGCCGTGAGGCGCTGTGGTTTCGGTCCACTGGCCCCCTCCCCGTGTCTGGCCACGCAGCAGCGCCGAGAGCGGTTGCCACGCTCGCTCGGTGTTTCGGGTCTCACGGACTAGCCCTGTTGGTGGGAGTGAGGGTGCGCAGCTGGTGGGGCAGGCGTGAGACGTGCCTCGCAATCCTGCGCACCACTTTGTTTTAATTCAGTCGTGTCGAGGGATGTAGTTGCTAACTTGGCCGAGGTCTCGTCGGTCTTGTATTTCAGGAGTGAGGCGCTGACTTTGGTCTGTGTGACTGTTAACAGGGCCACCGAAGGATGGTGTGCTGCTCAGCGTGGAGCGAAGACCACCCCATCTGCAACCTGTTCACCTGCGGGTTTGACCGGCAAGCCATCGGCTGGAACATCAACATCCCCGCGTTGTTACAGGAAAAATAAGGCCACGGCGTCCCCTGGTGTGGTGGTTTGCCGTGGACCTTTGACCGGTGCAGACTTCCTGCACGTTAGTCAGCCATTCTGTGCGAGTCTGACCCTGGGGAGGGTGCTTCGTCCCTGTGTTTCCACAGCGTGCCCGGCTTGCATGCCATGTAAGAGAAACGTGTGCCCATGTGTTTTAGTTCTGTCTTGTGTGTGTGTTGGCATCCTCTGGTCAGCGCAGGTGAAGCTCACCCTCCACGCAGCCCGTGAAGTGCTTGCGCGTTGCCGACTTCTGACAGGCGAACGGTGGGGCATTACGCTCGTGGAATTAAATGTGAACCTGTGTATTGTTTTGAGGCACAAGCGTCTGTTGCGTTTTCTGGAATAATCATGCACGTCTACCTTGTACCGGGGAGGCCGCGGAGCTGCGTTCGCGCTGCCTGGCGACAGGAGTGAGCCAAGACGTCGCGTTTACCTCGGAAGTTTTAGCGTGTGCTGTCGATTCAACTTCAACTCTCATTTCTGTTACAGTTCTGTAAAAATAATCTGGGTTTTAAAAGGTAAAAAGTGGCACAAAGTGTTCAGTTCACAACATTTGGAGTTTCTTTTGAAAAGAAAGGGTTTCTGCTTTTTTTAATAGAAAACCATTTCAATCTGCTGAGGTCTCACACTAGAAAATTTAAAAATAGGATTCTCATCACTGATTTCAGATATTGAGCAAAATTTAAAGCACTTTAGTTTATAGCTGTGGTTATAAACAGTTTTTAGAAGTTTCAAACGACTTATCCATCGAATGTGACTTGACTTTGATAAGAACGCCCTCCCCCCCGAAAACAGAGGTTTTACCCTCTGCGTCCCTGGTCCGCGTGTTCCGAGTGGGCCCCCTGCCTCGTGGCGCTCCAGAGCCAACCACACTACCTCAGAGGGGACGCCCGGGCGGCCGTGGGTCTCAGTGCCTGGCGAGCGCACTCCAATTTGTAGCTGGAATCCTGAATTCGATTCGGAAGGCAAGAAGGACAGTCACACTGGATGTGTCCTGAGGGGACAGGTCTTCAGTTAGGCTCCTAGGGTGACAACCAGGCAGCTGGCAGGTGACACGACGCGTCTGGCTCCAGTAGCTGGGATACCGCCCAGTGCCGACCCTGCCGCCACGTGAGCGGGCCCGTCGCTCTTGCCTTCTTAGAAGTCTCTGTTGCTCTGCTATTCGTGTGTTCGTGTTCCTTGAGTGACAGTTTTGGTAAGGAGACATCTCAGTTTCTGCCCCTCATGTCCTCGCTCCTTTCCATATGCCCACCCGGAGGCTGATCCCGGGGAGAGGCAGGAAGGCACCACCTACGCCCGTCCCCGTCCTTCGTGTTTCCCGTTTTGTGGTGACACCAGGGGTGCCCAGCTGGTAACTGGCATTAGCCACGCGGCGCAGCGTTGCAGGGCGCAGGACGCTCAGGCCGTCCTTGGGGGAGCTCACCCCGAGTGAGAAGCTCCTCGCTGCTCGAGTCCTGCGGGAGCCGATCTCAGAACCTGAGACCCGCGTGTCGGGAAGATTCCGAAATGACCGGCACACCCGGAGGGGAGGGCGGGCCCAGGAACACCCGACAGTGACGCGACACGGATCCGACAGTGCTGACCAAGGGACAGACCACACACGCTTTAGAGTCACTTCATTTTTAAAGCTCAGAGATTTGCTGTATGTCTGAACTTTGGTGTTCTCACCTGATCCCACTGTTTCTGAGAACTGAGGTCAGGCTGGTCCCTCTGGCTCTCCCGAGTGCGTCCTGCTCGCGGAGCGTCGTGTGCTGTCCGCGGGTCGCCGTGGCCCGGGCTTTCCTGGAGCCAGAGCCGTGCCCAGCCGCACACGCCACCTGCCGGATGCCTGGTGTCTGACTCTGAAAGTCTGGGTGTGTTAGGACGGTGTTCGGGAACACTGGAAGGGTGTGTGGTTAGTTTAGCCAAGTCGGACTTTAGAACCAGATCTCCACCAGATTAAAAAGTTTTGAAGCTTTTAAAAATATATATTCACAATGGCCATCGAGTTCCAGGCAGACGAGTGACCTTCGCTGCCGGAAACTGCTCACCTTCCCACGAGCTGGAGGGACCAGGCCCGACCCCGGAGCGGAGTCTCCTCACTCGCTCCCTCCGGGGCGCGGCCCCTGCCGTGAGCGAGCGGAGCTCTAGGAGCAGGCGCACCTTACGCCGACCGCGTGTCGTCTCCGCACGCGGTCCCCTCCCATGCTGTGGCCGTGGGCGACCTTCAGGAGTCACGGGGAAGACGGGGGCGGTGCATGTGTGTGCACATGTGTGTGCGTGTGGCCAGAATGACGTCAAGTCAGCCACGTGTGATCTCGTTTGAAGTTGTGTCTGGAAGTGGAATAGTGTTGTCCCGTGCGCTGACTGGTCCAGAATTTCATTTACTGAGGGAAGGAGATACGTGGTTACTGGAAATGTGTGTCGACGCGGAATTCCGTGAGGGTGTGTCGTTGGGCAGAGCAACGCTTTCTCTCGACCACCTCTTCTCATCAGTGTTGGGAGAGTCAAAAACGCTGTACATACTTTGGAATCTGAAGAATCCTATGTCAACCATTTGTTACTTAAATCTGTGAAAACCAAGTTTCTTTGGAGGAAAATATGCATTTATACGTGTTGTTTGGAATCCGTTGTTTTTATTGTATTGATGTTACTGTTTTAAGTGTTCATTGTCTTCGTTGCAATATGAAATTCATGAAAACATCCATGTTCCGTAATTACTATTATAAAAGTTTTACGTTATTGGGAGTCTCTTGTTTGTATTATTTTATTATTTTTACTTTTCTTCGTTGTGCTTTGGAGAAACATCGTTAGTGGCTATATAAACATCACACAGTGACCTGGAAGTCGGACACATATGATAGTGCCCATTTGAGAAATTTTAATTTTAGATTTAGGAATCGGTCGTTTGTGCTTCCTGTCCACCAACATCAAACGACGCACGGTTGGCTGCCTCATCCTCCACCCCCAGAATTTCTGAAAGGCTTGACCGTCTGACAGAGTACAAGCTGCGGGCACCGTCCCTCATGGTATCACAAAATGCTCGTACTGTTCTTACTGCGGTAAGCGTGTTTGAAAATAAAAAAAAAATTACAGTTGTAGAAAGCAGGCGCCGTTTTCTGCGGGAGACGCACACAGACGGCAGTGACTGGACCTGGTTCTGTTCTGATCCGCGTGCGCGAGCATCTTGGTGGTTGCAGGAACCTCGGGGTAGTGGAGTCCTGTGGGTGTCGCTGTCTCCACTGATTGCTTGACCTTCTTACCTTACTCCTCAGATAGTGTGTGATCATTGTCTAAATTTCATGACATCTTCCATTAATTTAAAAGTTCACTTTATGTCAGCATAAAGAATCAAGAGGAAAAGACTTGCATTGCTAAGACTTCATCAGAATGCCGAATCTGCCTCTGTTACTATCCGTAGGGTTTCCCCTAATTAGAATTTTATAGATATATTCCAAAATTGGGAACACCTCAATTGTTATATGCAACATACAATATATAGCTCATATTAGAGTGGGAAGAAGCTGAAAAATGAAATCAGTTAAAAGTCTCGTGTAAGGCCGGGCGCGGTGGCTCACGCCTGTAATCCTCGCACTCTGGGAGGCCGAGGCAGGTGGATCACTCAAGGTTAGGAGTTCGAGACCAGCCTCAGCAAGAGCGAGACCCTGTCTCTACTAAAAATAGAAAGAAATTATCTGGACAGCTAAAAATAAATATATAGAAAGAATTAGCCGGGCATGGTGGCGCATGCCTGTAGTCCCAGCTACTCGGGAGGCTGAGGCAGGAGGATCGCTTGAGCCCAGGAGTTTGAGG